AGAATTTAACTAGATTAACACTTACAAACAATTGTTTGTTTGCTCGACATTATAGCAAAGGTGTGTCTCAGTTGAACTTTTCCTTAATAAATGCACTTTGACGGTCAAACCAGCTGCATTTCAAAACAGATTCGCGGCTGCAGGAGCGCACAGAGGGGGGGCTCGCTGTGCATTTCTTCTAAATTTACCAAGAGAAGGTATTGATACAGATACATTACAGATACAGATACATACAAATGATTGAGTTATACTTATTTTTGTGTTTTTAGTCATTAGGCTGCAGCGGCCAACTTCAATTGAGTTGACTCCAGATGTTTATAAGTTGTAAATGTGCATCCAATGATCACTTCCTGCAAGCTTCATTAAATTCATCCACTGGTAAATGAGCTATTTTGCTAACGGACACAAACAGACGCAGATTATCGCCTCCCTTTTGTTTTTCCTCAGCTCCAATGGCTCAACATTCAAGGGACATGAAATAGACAATTCCCTTATTCTCTCAGGTCTAAATATTTGACCCTCTGCTAACAGCGCCTTTTTATTTGACGAGCTTTGGTCATCAAGCATTAAAGCAAAGCTGCTGCCTCATTTATCATACGGCCAACGCTAGCAAGAACGATGAACTTGTTTTGAATTATACCGTGACACAACGAGTGTTGAACAGCATGTTCGATTATCGCACAAAAATGTGATACGTTTCATGCAATCCAGGGATAAAAAATAAAGTTACACAACACTTTAATGCCAAAACAAACAGTTTAAAGCTCTTTTCAGTCTGTCGTTAAATCTCATGCGAGCAAACTATGAACAGTATTCAGAGTGACTCAGCTTATGTCAGGCTCTAGTGAAGCTGTGTTTGTTAATGACAATCTGCTGGATGCTAACGGTAAAGATTGTTTGTATTGTGGCATAAATGGCCCATACGTGTTTGAATTGTGCTGAATTACTAATACAGACACAGAAAATTACTATAACGTAGTCCATTTTACAAATATTGAGCTAAAGTTCGATGCAGTAGTAGCCGAGAGTCATCCTCTTCGAGTGCTAACACATCTTGCATGGGACTGAGTATAAGATTTTTTACTGGCCCAACTCTGTCCCTTCTCATCATAAGATGATCTTTATTTAACACTTTGGCATAAAGGGTGGCGGGTGATATGCATGTCTTCAAGGAATGTAATTCATGTGCAAACTTTTGAATTCTGAGTTCGATGGGTCGTCATGGGGCAAGTTTGCGATTGACGAGGCTGAGCTACTTCAGATGCATATTCACCAACCATCTTCGTCATGTAGCACATTCAGAGGTTGGTTGGTTTAACATTTTAGTTTAGGTTCTTTCACCTCCTGCTGTTGGTGTCTGAAGTAGGAGTCTACACACAGAATCAAAACGTAAAAGGTCATATAAAAAGAAAACCATCCCATCATAGGAGATGGAAAAGATGCCTCAGTGTAAATGGATCAGTATTGCAATGGGGAGTCAGTGTGTAGTGTTGCATGCTGATGTTGGGGGAGGGGAGGTCTAGTGAAGAGGAATTAGTTCTGCCTGGAGAGTCAGACTTTTTCTCGGGTGTTTCATTCTGATGCTGCAGTGTATTACCCACAATGCATGGTGAAAAACTGTGCTCACTGACCGGAAGGCTACCACAGCTCTATTGAAGAAGTGGTGTCCATTATAATATCTCCTTGAATGGCGTTTGAGTCAGTGTCCAGCTCTTAATACACCATGGTCCTCCTCTTGTGTCATTTTGTCAGAAATGACATATTTGAGTGTTAAAGTTGATGTATTCAATTAATTATCAATTAATCAAGGTTCAAAGCAACTTTATTATCCCCAAAAGGCAAATAGATTCACAGCTAACAGTATAACAGACCATAAATAAGCAGCACACACACACATTTTAAATATATTTTCAATAAAAAGGTTGATGACAGATGGAACCAACAACTTCTCGAAGCCATTTGTTTTACATCATGGCAGAAAACCAATTTTGTATGTTATGATTCTATTGATGGGTTTTTCTTTTTAAAATTATTGAGTTTATTTTCGGACTTTGCTTATTATAACATGTGTATGAATCAGTATTTAATCATACTTGTAAATACTCGTGAAACTCAGAGGGTGGAGTCCAACTCTATGGTCATGTCAGACAAATTCTCTTTAAATTAATTCAACTGTTTGTAAACTGAATCATGAAGAATGCTGAATGCAAAAAGAAGAACATTTTACAATAACTTGCATCAAAGTTAATTTGATATTTAGGGTGCGTGGCTACAAACATGTCAAATTACATGATTAGGATTCTCTGAAGGCTAGAATGACCTTTACTTTGCATCTCCTTCATACTCAAATGCCTTTATTTCCAAATTCCTGGTCCAAAACATCAACCAGATATCAAAGGTTTCAACTTGAAAAGTTGGAGATTCCTCACTAGATCTGACCTCAAAATTCAATATGTTTGATTTTCTCATGAAAAGCTGTATAAGCTGCAGTAGAGCCCTTTTTATTTGTCATTTTGTTTACCAGTAGCTCAGTTAAACTGACATGGCCACGTGTCGCTGCAATGGAAGTTATTCTAATCACTGAGCACAACAATTAAAACATCCAGTAGTTTGTCTGACTTGCAGCTCAAATATGGTTAAATTGGGTCTGACAACCATTCCACAATCTGAGTTCCAACTTCTGAGGTAAACGAAACCAAGCCTGAGTCACTATGTCGTGACACGTTTACTGCCAGGGAATGGAACATCAAGCTGTTTTCAATCTTGTATTGCATCTTTACTGTAAAACAGGCAAAATTTGTTTTTCTCAACTTCTCTATTAAGTGAATCGTACTGTTTCTGTACTGTATATCTATAGGCCATATAAAATAGTTAGCAAAAATATTCCTTTTTAAGTAAATTTCAGTTAAGTGTACATTTGGTGGGGAGCTTTCAGTTGGCTTGACTAAATGATTTCTGCCTACAACTTGACATGAACCTGATTCATTGGCGTGCATGTTAGGTTAGTTGTTGATTCTCAGTTGAATATATACTGTGCGTGTAACGCTGGTGAACAAACCAGATGGATTTCTACCCTGCCTCTAGCAGAGAGTCCGCTGAGGAGAGCTCCAGCTGCCCACAAAACTAATCATGAGGCATTAAGTATAAAAAAGACAACATATTTATATCTGTTTGCTTCTAGTTAGACAAACCAACCACTATAAAACTGTCATTCCACTACAGGTTACCGCTCTGTGAGCATTAGGAAAGTTATTACCTTAATGCCTTTTACTGTGGTTCTTATTGTGTAACTCGTCATGTATGAGACTTTATCACAGGTTGTAATTTGTGTTTATATTTGGGCACTCTACCGTAGCCATCTGTTAGAGTTATCCTACTTGTGTACCGCCCTGACTGGGGCACAGGCGTTGGACCTGAGGAGGACAGGTCAAAAGTTATCACCAGAAGGTATCTTTGCGCACATTTAAAATTATTTGCATCCAAATACACTTATAGGGATGACATTAATTGCTTGCTTAGGGTTATCTTCTGAGGGCTTGAGTTTGGGAATTTTTACGAGGCACCCCTTGGGCACCTCACCAGGGGGGTATTGTTAGCGTTATCCTACTTTATCATTCTGAGACCCCCGGTCTTGTCTGCACAAAGTCAGACTAGTTTCTGGCCGGGTTATGTACAGATGAGACTGGGCCCAGCTGCTCTGAGTGAGCTTCCCAGGGTCCGCACCCAATAAGGAGTAACTTTTTTTTTTTGCTGGCTTCCATCACGTAGCTAGATTTGCACTTTCACCCATTTTCACCATCAGAAACTGATAAGACCAATGATGTCACACATAGTCACCCCACTGATACACTCTGATAGGCTGTGCTCCCGAAAGTGAAGGTGGAGCCAAGGGCCAATATAATTTGGGGCGTTCTGTTAGACGGGGCTTCCGCTGCCAGGTTAAGACAAGTTGGACGGACGCCTCAGCGCTGAAACTGTAACTTTCTCCTGCCTGATGAACATTAAATTGATAAACGCAAATTATATCTCTTGATTTAAATGAGTTAAAGTGAGTTTCCTCTCCACCTGGGAATAAAAGAACAAGACTCTGGAGGCGGGGAGTCGGACCAGTTTCAGGGACGGACCCAGTCCATATTCTCACACATCCATCCCTTTACCTGCTTTTTCTTTCTGGTAGCTGGTGTCTATCGCCAGTGTTCATTGTGTGAGATGCAGGGGAAACCCTGGACAGGTCTCCAGTCCATCACAGGGACACATAGAGACAAATGAGACAAACAACCATTCACTCTCTCACCTAGGGACAATTTAGAGTTACCAGTCAGCCTAACATGCATGTTTTTGTTCTGTGGGAGGAAACTGGAATACCCGGAGAAAACCTACGCATGCACTGGGAGAAAATGCAAACTCTACCCAGCAAGGCCAGGAGGCAAACTTGCAACCATTTTGCTGTGAAGCAATAGCTCTAACATCTGCACCACAATGCCACCACTCATATTTTCAAGAAACTAATTTATTTTTAAACCTGCACTTTAACTTATGCATAATTTAAAAAAATTTACAAAATTACAAATGATTTTTCTTCTCGTTGCTGCCAAAGTTTAGTTCAAACTAGACGGGGGTGGCTGTGGCTGAGTGGTTAGAGCAGTCATCCTCCAATGCGAGAGTTGGGGGGTTCAAATCCACCAGCAGTCACATGTCGAAGTGTCCCTGGACAAGACACTGAACCTCTCATAGCCTCCGATGTGTGTCCCATCGGTGTATGAATGTGATCTAAAGCACTGATTAGTCTCTTTAGAATGATTAGTTCAGTTAGCTTTGTAGAGCTCTAGAGTGCTGTATGAATGGGTAAGTGAGGACAGATTTTAGTGTAAAGCGCTTTGAGTATCTTGAAATAAGATAGAAAGGCGCTATATAAGTACAGTCCATTTACCATTTACCATTTACAATATTGACCAGGCACCTGTCACTAACTGAAATTTTCTGGGTTTTTTTCTCTCTAGGCAATATCAGCATTACAGCTACTTGATGGAGAAAAATAAAGGAATCCCTTTAAGATGACACGTACAGACCCACCTGACATACTGGTATCTACTGTGCATCAAGATATAAAAGTGATTCCCATTTCTTCCCACTACAAGTCCTTGCATCTGTCCAAACAATGTGATTCAATAAATTACAGCACACTGGAGGACAGTAAGAGCAAAGTCAGTAAGAGGCACTGCCGAACATTTGCCTATAAGTCATTGGAGAACCCCAAATCACACAAGTTCTTCATGAAGTCCCCATACAAGAAGGCTGACAGGCAGACAGCCAACCCAGAAGTTGCCTGGGATGCCTTGGGCCGTCAGCAGAGATATCGCTTCTCTGCTCCTGACATTTTCAGTCATAGATTAACTCCTCAATCAGTGGATGCAGAAATGGCTAGTGAAGTAGTTGTTCCTGAGCATAAAAGAAGGACCAGGTCAAAAAGTGCCTCTCGGGTCCAGACCAGCCTCACTCCTGTGTCATTTGAAGGACCATCATCTTCAGGAAGGAGAGGAAGAGACTCTCAAAAGGCTCCAAGAGACTCTCGCTGGAGACCTGAAGTATCACATAGGGAGCCATCCTATGCAGCATCAAGGGCTCATATGCATGAAGTACATCTTATTAAGTTGCAGCCTCAAAGTGATGATAGCAGCAGATACTCTCCACATTATGCTTCAGATAAATTTGACGATGGAAGTCTGGATAAACCAGCAACTAGCCCTCATGTGAGGTGTCGAGTAGACATTAAGCCTGATGCATCACATCATTCAGGACAGAAACAGACTACAACACCGGTGGACATACCCTGGCAAAAACAACACAGTGGGGGGAGGAGTCTGACTGTGCCACGTCATTTCTCTTACTCTAGGACCCCAACCCCCACTGATTCAATGGGTGCAGAGAGTAGGCAAGCTTATCAATATTCTCGCAGCGTGCCAAATAGTTACCCACAACACATGGAACATCCCTTGCAAAGGATGACTTCTTCAGGCAACTATTATGGTAGGGAAACACGCGCTCACTCTAGTCCTAATGTGCCAACTAAGTTCTTTTATGCAGATGACCCAGGAAGATATGTTACTACTGCTCCTCCACAGCCAACTTCCTATTTTCATGATGAACGTTACACTCCAGGACAACCATATACTCCAAAAGTGCAATATGTGCAGGATCCAAGGACTCGAATGGTGCATGCTGTAGCTGCAAGACCTTATTACCCTGAAATGGAGCCCTATGGATACTCTGTGCAGACAGGGTATCCCAGACCTTATTCAGCAAATGAACCGGGGCCGTATATTATTAGGACACCCCCAGCAAGAATATTTTATGGTGATGATCCAAGAACTTATCAGATTCAGACTGCACCGCCAAGGTTTTATTACTCTAGTGACATGTATGCAATGCCACCAGAACACCACGTCCCAGCAAGGGCCTATTACACTGAGGGCCGAAGGCACGCTAGGGTTGTTCAGCCACAAACAGATGACTGGTATGGCTCAGATGCATCAGGATATTCCACCAATCCAGCCTCATATGTTTCTCAAGTGACTCCAACCAGAGTCCAGCAAGAGCCTGTTCTCACTCCGTGGTATACCAGCCCATGTGTTGAACCTCAAAGAATAGGCACTGACTCCAAATCTTACTCAAGGTCTTGGGACAATATTCTCAACTCGCGTGTAGAAAGAGAACAGCCTCTCCCTGTGCAGAGAGGTCAAAGCTACGATGATCTTCTTGACTCCAGGAAGCCTTCCACAGCCACGGGTGATAAACCACAACCAGTGGTCGTCAATCTTTCTAGTTCACCAAGACGCTACGCAGCCTTATCAGTATCGGATAACTCACTTATTGACAAAAGCCCAACAGAGACAGCAAAAAGCACGACCAGTAAACTTTGGTTTGTCACTCCTGAGATAACAATCACTGATAATGACATTAGGACAGGGAATCTTAACAAGGTTGAAGGACGGTCAGCAAGTTGGGATGTTCTTGATTCCAGAAGCATTGAGGGTCCAGAGATGTCTCTTCGTGATTTTGAAAGCTCAACCAAAGAAAAGACACACGACAATGCCTCACTTCAGCAAAGCCTTGAGCAGCTTGACGAGCTTTTAGCAGATCTTGTGACTGACTACAAGCCTCCCAGCAGAAGAGCAAGTGAGGACATCCTGGACCAACTAAAAAAGTTAATTGATGAAGAAGAAGCTGTGTCTCTGGCCAGAAAAAGCTCAAAGACAGGTGCAGAGGAACCACCCCCCTTGGACAAGCAGCCAACCTCAATTAGAATGAACCCTGATACTTTTCGAGAAATGGATGGAGTTAGTGATGCAATGAAGACTGCAGAAGAGTGCTCCCCAGATCAGAGCCCAGATGAGGATGATACAATGATGTGCTCTAACAACAAATGTCGAAGAACAGAAACCTTATTTAATGCCTGTCTCTATTTTAAATCCTGCCACAGCTGTTACACCTACTACTGTTCGCGAAACTGTCGCAGAGAGGACTGGGACATTCACAAAGAAAGCTGCTTGTATGGAAGAATAGGAAGCACATGCCGCCACATAATAAAACACTGCCGGGAGACTGTTGAAGTCCACAAAGCCTTCTCCCGTATTGCCAAGGTTGGCTACCTTTCTCGAGGTAGGGGGGTTCTCTTCCTTGGTTTTCCAAACCCTGCATCCTCAAGTAACTTCCTGCAGTATGGCTTGGATAGTTTACCCATGTCTCCTACATATCTGTCCCTCCGAGAGCTTGAAAGCTTCAAGGACAATCTAGGTGAGTACTGTAAGGAACTGCAGGAAGCTGGTAAAGAATATGACCCAAATGAATGTTTCATCTTGAATGTATCCATTGCTGTGGGCGAGCAGCTTCCCGATGGGCCATCACCAAGAAATCAAGCTCCAACCGTTAGAAAATATGCAAAGGTCGCATTGGCTTCCTTTAGCCCAGAAAAAAAGGTACACAAGAAGGAGAGTGACATGGAAACACTAATCCTTACTCCACCCCCAGGAACAGCAGATATTGACAAGGAGGGAGAGGAGGGTCGGAAGGCTAGAGAAATCTGCTTCATCAACATACAAAGAGAGTTGAGAATGCGAGGGGTTTTCCTACGCCATGAATTCCCACATGTGTATCAGCAGCTCTGTGAATTTGTAGAAAATAACAGAAGGTTCACACCCACAACTATCTATCCAATTGATAAGCGGACTGGTAAACAGTTTATGTGCATGATTATGGCTGCCTCAGAGCCCAGGACATTGGACTGGGTTGGCACTCCACATCTCCTTGATGACATTATTTAGGTACACCTTTTGTTAAGAATATATATATATGTGTATAGAAATACTTATATATTGATGCACATATTTATATATTGATCCAGCTACAGACATTTATAGATAAGTATTTTGTTATCAAAATGATATACATTCATGTCCGCTTGATCAGTATTATTCATTATTAAACTATTTCTTATCAGGTGCAGAAAAGGTACAATATAAAAGGAATTTATTTTAGTTTTAAAGTAAATACTTTTATTTCACCACAAGTCATTTTGTGGTTAAGTACTGTTCAAAGACATTCCCTTTGGACGGGATTATCTAAACTCACATACTGATGTTTTGATTATCTCAGATTAGCAAGTACCAACTATTCTTTTAATCTTGACATTTTACATGATGCATCTGAGAGTACAACATGAATATTTTCATATGTGACTTCAATGTTATATCATGCAGGAAATATGAAACATTATTTTCTTAGCTACACAAATACTTTCTATGCAAAGTTGTTTTATGAGTTAATACCACATTCCTGCAGATGGAGTAGCTTTTATTATATATAATATGACACATATATATATTATTATGCGATGCATATATAAAGTAAACTGTTAAAACTGCGACAAAACACAACTTTTGGTGGCTGAACGCTGTCATTACAGTATGGGACAGCGGTGATGGCTGAGAAAGAGACAATTGTGCGACTTGAAAAACCTAATTAAATGGGCACAATTTTTATTCATTCAAACTTTATTTATACAGGTTAATCCCACTGAGCCTCGAGGACTCATTTACAAGAGAAACCTGAAGACCTTACAATGTACTCTACTGAAAAATATTCCCTCTCTAATGGCATACTTTTTTTTTTGTGGGGGGGGGGGGGGGGGGGGAGCTAATTTCAGTGCTTTTAGCTGTTTCTGCACTGCAGAAAACTGTAGTACAGGACTGCAAAAATTTCCAAAACAGGAATGAAAATGGTGCCAGATACAAGCCCTGTTGTTGGTGTTGGCCTGTACTGTTCGGTTTTAAACACTGTGAATAGTAAAATATATGTAGTACAAAAAAATAAAACAAAACTTGGTGAAATACCAATAAATAATGCAACTTGATTAATGATGGAAGTTTATGAGTTGTCTTTTTAGATATATTTACAAACCAAGCTATAGGAGTTTTTGGTTTTAGGACAAAGTGAGTCAACTTTGGCACGATATCTCTATGTTAGGCTACAAAAATACTTAAAAACAAAGTTAGATGTGTCTTTGTGGTGAACTAGGTTTATTACATGTATGATGTCTTTTTTTTTTTTTTTTTGGTTTTAGCCAATCAAAGTCCTTTTGTTTATTGGATACAATAAAAATTAGAACATTACTGAATACATTTGAGCCTTTTTGCCTCATTTTGTTTTTAAGATATTATATCTCTTGACTGTATTTGTAGCATCCTAAAGCTCAATTTCCCTGACAGTAAAGTGATTACATTTTAAAATGTACACGTTTTAAAATGGGTTTAGCTAGAGTATACTGAATGTTTGGAATGCTAATATCCCATTTATATTTATAAATGGTTCTACTGACACCTGCCTGGATATTTCTGGAAGATGTAAATTTGAAAATCAATTTGTTGTCTTTTAGTGATATCATCTTGTCAGATCAACTTTTCTTCCAATTTTATAAGACAAAGCCCAATGAAACATGAAGCTTTTATTGGAATAAATAAATAAAAAGAAACAGTTTGACACTTGTGATTAGCTGAGAGGACGTGTTGTACAGATGCCCTGATATGTTGGCTGGCTGCATGTGTTTCTGTTTTCTCTGCTTTAATCTCATTTTAACATGACATTAATTATAGCAACTTGCTTGATGAATGGGCTTGTGAAAGTGAACATTATGCTGTGTAAGATTAAAAAAAAAAAGTACATTTTCCTTTTTTTTAACTTGAGTTTAAAGAACATGTCAAAAAGCAAAGCATAAGAGACCTCACTAAGATGTTTAGAAAATCCTGTAATCTTGTATTTTTTATACTTTCAACATATGTGTGTGTATTTATAAACAATGTCCAATAAATGGAATGGAAAATGCTTTTTGTTCTTGCTTTATTCAGCCCGGTTCAGTTTTAATTAACCTGTGTTTTCTGATTCTTGCTCATTTTAACACTTCAGCTGAGCAACATCTCAGAGTTTTAGTCATTTTAATTGTCATTTTATTAAAATATGTCAATAGTGTCAAGTCTGCAGTCAGTTGAGTGGTTAGGACAAAGTCTACAACGTGTGGCCCTATAGAGCAGACATGTGCAATATATGGCTCGAGGGCCAAAAGTGGCCCTCGGGTAATCGCTATCCGGCCCTTTATATTCTTAGTTGTAAAGAAAAAAACTTTTAAATAAGTTGATGAAAATCTGCATTTAAATAATGAAACTTAAGGAAGTCTAAATCAAACATCTTGGATAAATACATAAAAAAACATTTGGATTAAGTTAGGCTCAAACATTGTTAAGCAGTTTTTCCAGAACTAGACTGAACATTAAAGACTGAAAAGCACACGTGTGTTTTGATTGCATACGCTAACAAATACATTGTCCCAAGAGCAGTTTACTCACACAGACTCATGTTCGTGCTGCTGTTGGGCGTATTGTTTTTGTGCTACTAGTGCTTAGCGTATTTCTTAGTTCATATCTTAGGTCTTATTACTCGTTTTCTTTATAATTTATACTTTTGATGGGTGTAACTGGGACCCTGTGTACACAATTTCGTTCCACCACATGTACCACATGTGACGAGAATGACAATAAAGAAGCCTTGACCTTTACACAACACATGTCAGAGTATTGGGAGACATAGTTTTATCAAGCATGCTAACTATGCTACAACAACAAAAAAGCCTCCAGATTATGGGCCTTGAAGAAAATGTATTTTCCAAGTCTCTGTGCAGCTCGATTGTTTTAAATAACTTGATTTGGCCTGCTCTAAAAATGTTGCCCACCACCACATGTGGCTCTTCAGACCCCCTGAATTAGCCCTTACAACTGAATAAAAACAAGATGAACCCAATTAATTTTTGTTTAGAAACTGACAATCGGAAGGAGCAGTTTAACCATCCAAACAATTTGGAAGATGTGCATTATATCTCTGTATGATACCAGTAGTTTGAGCAGTCTGTGAACTCAGTTTTCAACAGAAACTAGTCAGCATACCTGTTAACGCAAAGTGTACAGAGTCCCATCATTTAAGTACGTGAATCATCTGAATGTGATTCACTAAAATGTGTTTATAATTCAGTGATAATTTGAAGCCTGTTTTGTTTATGCAACGTTTTGTCATGCAGTACTGTCATTTTCAAAATCCACCAGGAAGTTCACATTTATCAGCATACTAATAAAAATAGATGGTCCGGTCAACCAAGAAGTGATTTCCTGTCTAATAGTGATCAGTAGTTAGTGCTGCACCAGCATGACATCAGGCTGAGAGTGTGGGGTTTGGAGAAAATGACAAAAATATTTGTTAAGGCTATGCTAATGGCTAGCCTAACGAGTACTTTTTATAAACTTACCTCTGAAATATTTGGTCTTGGTCCTGATGTATCTAGCTATTAGTTTTTTATTAACCTTTATTTTACCAGGCAAATCCCACAGAGATCACAGATCTCTAACATGCATGTTTTTAGTTTGTGGGAGGAAACCGAAGTACCTGGAGAAAACCCACGCAAGCATGAGAAGAACATGCAGACTCCACACAGCCCCAGGTCCCACCAGGGATTGAACTCAAGACCTTCTTGCTGTGAGGCAACAGTGCTACCCACTGAGCCATCATGCTGCCATAATAGTTCATCAACCTATTCTATTTCTCTAAAGTGTCGCTGGTCAAAGAACTACATCTACAACAGGTAAGATATTAATTGTTCATAAGTATTTTGTGTAATAAACATTAACAAATTCAAAGCAGTCTGCTCCTCAGATAAATAGTGTTAAATTATATATATATATATATATATATATATATATATATATATAT